GCCCTAACCTCTCTTCTGACTTCCAGTTTCACATCTCCAAATGCCTATTAGACATTTCGAATTGGATTCCCTGTAGATATTGTAAACAGTATGGCCAAAATTAAAATAATCATCTTTTCCCCAAAAACAATCCCCTGTTTCTAACTTTCCAATTCTTTTGAGGATACTACCATCCTCTTTTACATTGGCTGCTCTGCTTGGTTTCATATCCAGGAATATCATGCCTCCCCCAAGATAAGCTCACCACATGAAATCTCATCATAATGGAGATTGGTTCACATTTGATAACACCTCCTCAGCAATCTCAGTTAACTCTTCCCTCTGACTGGAAGGTTGGATGGGGGGAGCAATAAACTCCTTCCAAAGTCTTCTTTTATTGAATGCTCAAAACTTTCCAGCTGACTTCATTTTCCATCAGCTGCTCTGTTTGGTTTCAACTCCAGTACCCCGTGTTGGGTCCTGAACCTTCCCCACACCCCCTTTGTATACTGTCATCCTTCATTAGATTACCAGCTCCTTGGGGGCAAGGACTGCCTTACTCTTATTAGCATCCCCAGAACTTAGCTCACTGCCTGGCCCACAGCAGATGATTAATAAATATTTACTGAATGACCATTCTCCCAGTCACTGAGGCTGACAAATTAGGTATCATCCTTGACTAACTCTCTCTCACACCCCCATATCCAATCTGTTGCAAAGACCTTCACGAGATTTCTCCTGCACACCATCTTCTCTTCTCTAAAACTGCTATCACTATCGCACAGGCCCTCATCACTCCACTCCTGGATTACTGCAACAACCTGCTGGTTGGTCTCTCTGCCCTAAGCCTCTCCTTACTCTAATCCATCTCCCCTCAGCTGAATAAGTGACTGATTTCCCCGAACTTAATGCAGGTCTGATCATGTCACCGCCCTCTTCTCCTCATTCAATAAACTTTAGTGGCTTCCTAATATCTTCAAGAGCAAATATGAAATCTTCTCTTTAGCTTTTACAGCCCAAATTAACCTGGCCCTTCCTTATCTTTCCAGTCTTCTTACACCTCATTCTCTTTCATGTCCTCTGCAATTTAGTGACACAAGCCTCCTTGCTCCTCCTCACACACACCTCCTACCTCCATTCATTTCACTGGCCATCCCCAGGCTTGAAATTCTCTCCCTTTCATCTGTAACTCCTGGCTTCCTTCAAGCCTCTTTTAAAAATCTCACTTTCTACAAGAAGCCTGTCTGAATTCCCCTTAATGCTAGTGCTTTTTCGCTGTTGATTATCTCCAATTGATTGTGTAGATGGCTTGTCTGTACATAGGTTGCACGTTGTCTTCACCATTACACTGGGAACTCCTTGAGAGCAGGGACTGTTTTTTACCTTTATTTGTATCCCCAGTGCTTGCTTGGCACAGTGCAGACACATAAGAGATGCTTAATAAGTGATTGTTGATTTGACTTACATGAGAAAATAAATCAAAGTAACCTATAATATACTCTACATTTTTGTGCACTGGGAAACATTTATGGGGGAAAAAAATCTTTTTTTAAAAATTTAGTTGGATTTTCCATTCAGTTTAATCAGTCCTACAACCAATGGAATGGTTATGCATAGTTTTACTCAAAAGATCTTGTAAGAGTTCACACTAATTTAATGACCTGTCTTAACCTCTGAGTCAGAAGAACCATCAATAAAGCAAAATAATGTAGAACTTTTAGTGGAAGAATTTGAAAATAAGCTTAGTATCCTCCTCACCTTGGCTTTTTAAAAGAAAACAGCACTGTTTCTTCTCCTTCTCCGACTTATAAAAGTAGGAAAGTGGTGAAACAAATTCATCAAACGGAAGCTATTCATATGCCAGCCAAATTCTCTACAAGCTCCACAATATTCAGTGATAAGATTCTACAGCAGCAATCAAAGCTTCTAGTTTATTAGTGGCAAGCCGGCTGAGTGTGCTATTCCAGCTCTACAGGGATACCAATTCTATAACTGTCTGGTACACTTAGTGTTATTGCTTCTCAGGAAAATAGTGGAGATATATATATGGGCGTGTGTGTGTGTGTAGACTTACGCTACCATACTTAAGGTAAAATTAAGGAGATTACCAAAAAGAATCATTTTCTTTTATAGCTTTCTGAATTTTTTATACTTTATCGTTACCAATTAAGCAGCATAAAAACACGACTGCCTCCAACAACTGTTTCAAAATTATGGTTTTTAAACTATTTAAATTACTGAGCTACTATCAAAATTAGTAATATTTTTAAAAGGGTTCAAAATATCTTTTCTTTAATACATGAAGCTAGAAACCCTACACAGGAATACTTACATTTCTTTTTTAAAAATTACATGGGTAATGTAGATATCTATAAGTTTGTATACTTATATGTATACATAGATACCTACATACATATATGTACATAAATATATACACTATATGTGTGAGTATACATGCACATACACACACAGAAGCGTGTGTGTATATACATGTGTGTATAAAAACAAACAAATCAGTGTGAAATAAGAACATTGCCATTGAAAGTGAACATTATTAGAAATAAGACATAAGCCTAGCAATTAAGGACAACAATGACATCTAGTGGACATTTCAAACAGTCCATGCTTACCTCTCCCAAATGAATCAAAATTGGTTTAATTTTCACCCTTCCATAAATCACCACTAAATAACAAATGCAACAGGGCTCTGAACAACAACAACAACAAACGGAAAAACGCCTACAAGTACATGAGATCTAAACAAAAAAGGGATTAAAAGCATGTTAGGGATTTTCAGCTAATATAGATTTCTAAACAGGCAGCTTAGTTCTCACAATTATTCCAGCAAAAACCTAAATTCCCATCATCCTGAAAAGATCAATAAGTCTAATGAGAAATCTCAATACTAAGTGACTTCTTATATCCTAAAATTGCACAAAAAGCCATCCTGAATTCCAAGGACAACAGGAAAGTGTGAGGTCAACAAAACCACTGGCAGCTCCAGCAATCGTGCCAGTAGCCTCCCAGACCCATCAGAGAGGCCAGAGACATGTAAAACCAGCAGGATTCTAATCTAGTGGCAACAGAAAAAGAAGGCTGTACCAGAAAACCCTAGGGTGGTCAGGAATCCATGTCAGGAGCACTGGAAGTCACTAGGAGTATCAGGATACCACAGGGTTCTGAGTTCTGTAGAGTTCTGTCCTGAGACACTATAGAGGGCCCTAAAGATTCAAGTAAACTGAACCTCTGAAATCCAGGCAGACTTAACAACGAGAGCAAGATGTCAGAGTACATATGGAGGTGACCCAGGGAGAGAACAAGCAAGGGTAATCACGCCACCTAAAAGCACAGCAGGGAGTAGAACCTGGCCCCACTGAAAGCACTAATTAAAAAACTAAGCCAAAAGAGATGAGTAAACCAAAGAAAATACCAACTACTACAAGGAATTACATGCAGAGATGCCCCAAAATGCAACCTAGGAGACAGTGTTGCATTAATAACTGCAAGCAGGGACTCAAGGGAAAAAATAGATCTTCCATGGTGATTACATGAATACCTAGAAGAAAAAAAGCAAGAGATTCTTAAAAATGAAATGAAAGCTCTGGGGGAAAGAAATAAAAGGAGAACACTATAAAACACAAAATGGCAAATGTTACTCAATGGATTCCGAAAATGATAAAAGACAAAACATCAATGACCCTATGAGACAGCAAGAAATATTAGAACAAAATCAGAATATTGGGAAAAACATGTAAAATACATGACATAAAAAACAACTAACCTGGAAAACAGGTCAAGGAGAGATAATAATTTAAGAATTACTAGACTCTCTAAAAACCATGATAACATCCTGGATAGTAGATTTCAAGAAATCTTAAATAAAAATTGCGCAGATGTCACAGAATAACTTATCCTGCACAACTGAATATAATCCTACAAGGAAAAAGACTTCAAATCTGAGCAATGTAGAAGTGTATGTGGATGTAAAGCTAACAGTGTAACAGGAAGAAGAAAACCATCCCAAGTTTAATGTCTTCAAACGTACTAAGAAAGTTAAATGAGAAAAAACAGAGGTTTTGAAGGTGAACTGATGCTGTTCTGAGGGTCTTAAGAGAGGAAAGAGAAGGGAGGGTAAAAGGAGGAGTACACTAGTGTAGATAGGAGGAAGAAGGGAGTGTAACTTGTAATTTCTCATGACGGCGGTATATGAAAAGAAAAGAATAATACAAACATGGAGGAAAGAGTGAGTGGACTGTGCATTAGATACACCTCACTCTCACTTGAAATGAACAAAGAAGGATTAAACACACACAATTTGGTATAAAAATACATCAAAGAGGAAAAGAACCTATATGTTCATTAGTCATGTCCAAAAACAAAACAAAATAAAACAAATCCACAAGCCTCAATCTGTACTGAGTTGACAGACTCTCTACGTGGAGGTGAGTAGCAAGTTTCTTCATGAATACTCTGGAATTTTGGTTGGTCAAGCAAAACAAATTCCCTTCTAGGATAAGGCAGTAAGGTGGCACAGTGCTTAGACAATGGAAGCTGGAGTCAGAAAAATCTGAATTCAAATCCAGTCTCAATTATTAACTGTGTGACTTCAGGCAAATCACTTAACTTCAGTCTGTCTCATTTCCTCAACTGTAAAATGGGGGTAATAAGAGCACCTACCTCCCAGTGTTGCTATGAAGATAAAAAGAGATAATATTTGTAAAGCACTTAATAAAAGTTAGTTATTTCATTAGCAAAAACGCCAATGACAGGCTCGTTGATTTTACATTTCCAAAGTAAAGTCTTTCTGAAAAAAGCCTCATAAATCAAGTAAAATTCAAGAAAAAAGGAAAATGAAATATTTCTAAAATAGCTCCAAAAGAGAAGTATGCAGAAATTGCAATTTTAAAAATACTCAAATTTTTCCTTTCATGTTATAGTAACTTGATTCCATCAAAAAGCTATTACAATACTGAACAAAGGACTAAAAAGATAGTACATCTGAAAAGCTATAATTGACTTACTCTGATTTCTTGAAGATTGTGAAAATTATTTCCTACTCTGACGGAGATCTTGCTTGGAGTATAGCTTTCATCTGATTTGTAGTCTGCATAAATACATAACGTCTTCACTGTTGTTTTTCTTCTATGAATAACAAAGCAAAAAAAAATAATAGTATAAGAAACAAATGTCTTTGGTAAAGAGTCAAGTCAAGAAGCATTGATAAAGACATATCATTTGCCAGGCATTGGCTAAGTGCTACAGATACAAAGAAATGCAAAAAACAGTCCCAGTTCTCAAGGACAGTAGAGTGGGGGATAGTATGTAAACAACTAGGTACAAACAAAATATACACCAGATAAATTGAGGATAATTTTAGAAAGAAGATACTAAGATTAAGGAGGACTAGGAAAAACTTGTAAGCAGTGAGACTTTAGCTGAGACTTGAGAGAAGGCAGGAAAGCCAGGAGGTGGAGATGAAGGAGAGCATTCCAGACATTGGGGACAGCAAATGAAAAATGCAGAGCTGGGAGATGAAATGTGTTATGGTAGGGACATCATGGAAGCTAGTATCTTAGAGCACATGGAGGGGCACAATTTGTATGACTGGAAAGATAGGAAAAGGTCAGATAATGAAAAGCTTTAGAAGCCAAAAAGAGGAGTTTATATTTGACCTTGGAGGTAGTAGGGAGCCACTGGAGTTTAACGAATGGGAGTGGGATTGACATGGTCAGTCCTATGCTAAATTTAGAAATATCACTTGGACCACTGAGTGGAAGATGAAATGGAACAGAGAGAGACTTGAGGCAGGGAGATCAACCATCAGGATATTGCAACAGTGAGGTGACAAGGGCTTGTACCGGAGTGGCAGGAACGTCCAAGAAGAGAAGACATGTATTTTAAAATATCTATAAGACATCTGGCTCGAGATGTCTTAACAGGTAGTTAGAAATATGAGGCTGAAAGTCAGAAGGAAAGTTAGGGCTGAATAAACAAATCTGAGAGTGATTTACATATAGATTATAATAGAATTCACTGGAGCTTATGAGCTCAGGTAGAGTCTTTATTTTGAACTCGATATGATTTAAATACAAGAAACATTTATATGTCCAAAGACATTTTGTGGGACATTTGGTTATTTCATATTGCAGTGTTCATAAAAAGTATCTACAAAAAGATGACCATGAAAATAATTACAGTTTAAATGTCACTATCTGTTGCAGAATAAAGGTGGTAGATAAATTATATAAAGAACTTGTTAAGATCCTCCAAATTTAACCAACATGTACTTTGATACTCAGTGACTTCCATGCAAAGGTAGGCATAGGCAAATATGGCAAAAAAAAAAAAAGTTGGAAAATACAGATTAGTAGTAAGGAATGAGAAAGTCCACAACTATAGATTAAACATGAAAATCATGGCTAGAGATCTCTGATGGTTTCTTCAAGAACAAAATGTTGAACATGGTGAGCAGAGCAGCACAAACCATCTCTGGCCACTTCGCTAGATTTCCCAACCTCTCAAGGGCACAGGGCCAGGCCCAAATACCTCCTGAGCTCCCCCAGTTATTCCCAGGACATCAGCATGGTTCTACTATGTCTTGATTATTTTCAAAGAAAAATGAAAAGAGAGCAGAAAAGAAGATCAGGGAGGGAAGGTAAGGGGAAATTTTTCTCATATAATCAGAGTAGAAGACATCTATACAAACAAGTAGGAGGGGTGAGGAGCAAGCAGTAGACACCTAAGCCTTACTCACATCTGAACTTGTCAAAGAAGGAAAGAATAACACAGACACAGAGTTCGGTACAGAAATACATTTCACTCAACAGGGAAATAGGGAAAGGAGAAAAAGAAGAAGGAATCAGAGGAAGGATAGGTTAAGTGGGAGATTGGTCCTATGCAAAACAAACTCTAAGAATATACAAAAAATATTTATAGTCCTTTTTAAGGTAGCAAAAAGGGGAATCTGAAGTGGTGCCCATCAATAGGGGGGATGGCTAAACAAGTTATGGTATATAAATGAGATGGAATATTACTGTGCTCTAAGAAATAATGAAGAGAATGGTTTCAGAGAAACCTGTAAAGACTTAGATGAATTGATGCAAAATGAAGTGACAGGAGCTACAAGAACAGTTTATACAATAATAAAAATATGGCAAAGACAAGTAAACTTTCAAAGAATTAGGAATGCTGATCAGTGTAACCACCAACCATGATTCCACAAGATTAATGATGAAATATGCTAGAGAGTGTAAAGGACTCAGAGTGTAGAATGAGGCATCTATTTTTTGGACATGGCCAAGGTGGAAATTTGTTTTGCTAGATGATACATGTTTATAAAAGAGGTTGGTTTGTTTTTTGTCTTTCATTCTCAATAAGGGGAGAAGAAGGTGAATTTTTACTGATTTTTTTTTTTAATTATGCACAGGACATGGTGCCTTCTGGTCAGAAACAATCACCTCCTAATTGTATCAGTCACTTCCAATACTTCATAGATCTTAAGAGCTAGGCCAACACCTAAAGAGTAAGTCCTGTACCTTCTAGTCACCTGCCTTCATGAACAGAACTCACTGTTACTCTTCCTAGATTCATTTCTCAACGGTTAACATATTGCCACACCCTCCTACTTTCCCCATTTCTATGGTACTAAATCTCTTGTTGTCAAAAAACCATCTCTGCCTCCCCAAACTCATTTTGTCCATTTTCTCATTGCCATCCCCCTCAACCATATACCCCTTAATGTTCCACTCCAGGTCTGCCTGGACCGTCTTGTATGCCCTCTGAAATGCTTGTTCCATAATTAATAAAATTCATCTCACCTTAAAATACATATACTCTAGTTTTGCATCTCTATTACCACTTATTAATCCAACCCTCCTCCCCTAACAGGAGCTCTCCCCTTGTAATCATACGTCACGGATTTATCCTCTATGTGTTGATTTTTATATGTTGCTTCCCACATTACAATCTAAGTCTCTTGCGGGCAAGAATTGGTTTTGCTTCTTATTTGTATCCCTACAGCTTAATGCCTGGCAAAATGCATGTTGTTGTTCAGTCAAGTGGACTCTTTGTGACCTCGTGGACCATAATCACGGGGTTTTACTGACAAAGATAATGGACTGGTTTGCCATTTCCTTATCTAGTGGATTTGGAGTGCAGAAATTAAGTGGTTTGCTCAGGGCCACACAGCTAGTATGTTTCTGAGGCTGCATTTGAACTCGGATCTTCCTGACTTCAGGCTCAGCACTCTATCCAATGAGCCATCTAGTTGCCTCCCTGGCAAAATATAGTAAGTACTTAATAGACGTTTGCTAATTGATGAGACCTTAATAACACATTATTAATATGGGAATCATTTCTAGATAACCTGTTTATATACAAACTACCTATTTGAGCAAAGATAAAATAATATAAAACCAGGAGACTGATGAGGAAGACATGAAGTACAATTAAAATAACTCCCACCTAACCTATTTAAACAAATATTGAAATGGAAAAGTAGAAAATGGGTATGATAAAGGATGCTGACAGCAAACAACTTCATATACAAGTATAATTGATGTAAAGCAACTGCTATAACAAGACCAAAGAGCCTAAAAAAATACCATCATTTGCAAATGCTTTGACCTATTTGCCAAGCAGAAAGATGTAGCAGTCAAGGGTAACATACGTTTAAAACATAACTTCATTTGCAAAATCATAGGAAAAAGGTTGATGGAAGATTACAAACTGAAATGCCTAACGAAATGCCTAGCTGCAGTGGAAAGAATAAAACAATATAAAGAACCTTGGCAAGAGACCCAACTAAGCAGTTATCCCCAGGACTTTTAAGGATGAAACTGGAAGAAAGAAACAAAACAGACCAAAGATGGAAATTGTCTTAAGAGATTTTTATGACAAATTCTTTTCAAGACTAGTGAAAGCCCCACATTGGGGCTCTACCTTCACTTCTACATGAAATTTTTTGAGGAAGTAGAAACAACACTAGAGGGCAAACATGAGAAAAGCAATTGGAGTAGACCAAGTATTTACAGAGGGAGTCCATACTGGAGGTGATATAATCTTGAAAACAATGAAGCATTAATTCTCAACATTTTTGAAGGGAAAAAATATTTGAAAGGTATGGAAAAAAAATCTTAGAGCTTCTCGCTACTCCCCCCCCTCCAAAAGAAAGGCATTCAAGAGGGTCTACATTTGCAGAGATAGAACAAAGCACTGCCTTAAAGTCTTTCTCCAACCAGCTGTGTCCCATACAGATGTCAAAATAACATGACTCCTTGAAAGATTTAACAGATAACCTTGTTTAAATATCCTCTTAACATTAATACAAAGCGAGGCATAAAAACAGAAAGACATATGCTTACCAAAGGTGTTTGTCACTATCATACAGATTTAATGTTTGTCCCAATTAAAGGGGGATTTCCTATAGACAGTGAAATCTTCCAGATGTTTGTCTTTGCAGATGACATGATATTATCAGGTTCTAAATTTTAGAGCCTCTTAAATGAAAGCCATAATCACTCAAAAGAATCTGGTTTAACTATCTGCAAAGAAACACTAAATGAAAGATGAATGTCTACTATCAAAGACTACAATATTCAGTTGGATGAACAATTTTATAGAGCTCATCCATCAGAGTATGCATGCATGGGTATGTGCATTTATCTCTCTGTGACAGACACTGAAAACAGATAAAACCTAGAAGTCAAACACTAGGACAGCATGTTAGCTTGCCTTTGGAAAATTATGAAAGTCTTTTACTGACCCCAATCTTTTCCCTAAGCCAATGGTACAACTTTATAATACCAATATTATTGTGATTATTACTATAATGGCTGTTAGTCATGGAATACTACAGGAGCCAAAGAATCAAAACTGAGGATCACCACAAGGGCAATGAAGAATACATAATGGATATAGGCATGCATTTATATAGCATTTTAAGGTTTGCAAAGCAATTTGTATATGTTTTCTCATTTGATCCTTACAGTTCTCAAATCCTGGAGGCTAAATGCTATAATCATCCCCATCTTACAGATGAAGACACTGAGGCACATAGATATTAAGTGACTTGCCCAAGGTCACACAGCTAACAAGAATCTGAGTTCATATTAAAATTCAGTCTTTCTTACTCTAAACCCATA